CTGGGGGTGCTGAGCCTGGGGGTGCTGAGCCTGGGGGTGCTGTGCCTGGGGGTGCTGAGCCTGGAGGTGCCGAGTCTGGGGGTGCTGTGCCTGGGGGTGCTGAGCCTGGAGGTGCTGCGCCTGGGGGTGCTGTGCCTGAGGTTGCTGAGCCTGGGGGTGCTGTGCCTGGGGGTGCTGTGTCTAGGGGTTCTGAGCCTGGAGGTGCTGTGCCTGGGGGTGCTTCGTCTCGCCGGGAGCCACTCTCCCCACAGGAGCTGCGTGAGTGGTTTGCCAGGCGCTGGAGGCGTGCTGCTGGTGCGGGTGGTTCTTCGACTGCAGAGGGTACTGCTGCCGCGCGTCCCGCCGGTGCTCGTACTGTGGGTGCTGGAGCTGCTGGGTCTGAGAGTTCTCCTGGAGCTGGTCCTGCTGAGGGTGTTGGCGCTGAGCCTGCCGTTGGCGGTCCGACTGACAGTGCTCCTGGTGCTGCGGCTGGGGGTTCTGGAGCTTCTGGTGGTGCTGCTGGAGGTGCTGCTGGAGTGGGTGCTCCTGCCGGGGCTACTGGTGCTGTTCCTGCTGTTTCTAGCGTCGCCGTGCGGCCCCGACCGTACTTCGTTCCGCTCCTGCAGCAGGTTCTTGGTCTTACACCTCCTCTTCGTCCCTTAGAGGGTCCGCAGCCTGTCCGGTCACAGCCACAGCTACAGCCTTCCTCCCCTTTGCCTGCTCCTTCTCCCTACGCTGGTCCGACTGGAGGTCTTACTGAGCGTCGTGAGCCTGCGTCTCGTCCTGTGTCGCCTGTTCGTCCTGAGCGCGCTAGTGGTCGCGGGTCGCGTCAGCGTCCTCCTCCTGTCCCTGGCACGCACCGGATGTCACTGCGTCCGTCCACTGCTCCTCTGCGTGCCCCTTTGCCTTCTCCTCCTGCTTCCTCTCTTCCTGCTCTTGCCGACCCGGAGTCGGACTCTCTTCGTGCTGCCAGTCCTACTGTCACGCGTCTCCTGGCTACTGCTGTCACTGACCCCTCCTTCGAGTCGTCTGCTGCGTCTGCCCTTGTCACTGAGCTTGTCGACTTTGCTGCGCGCTGTCGTCTAGACTACGCTGCTCGTCTTGTCACTGAGTCTGAGTCCGCCTGTCCTCCGTCCGTCGGGGGTGAGTGTGCCCTTGGCACGGACGTCCTTGAGGACAGGCAGGAGGAGTTCCAGTGTCTGGCCGCCGCTTCACCTCGTCTCGCGTCTGTACTGCTAGCCCCTGAGGGAGACCCGGATACACCAGACATCCCGACTCCGCGCTCTTACGCGGAGGCGATAGAGGGTCCCTACTCCTCTCAGTGGCAGGCAGCTATGGATGCAGAGATGGCTTCCTGGAAGTCCACAGGCACCTACGTTGACGCTGTTCCCCCTCCTGGGGCGAACATCGTCAGTGGCATGTGGATTTTCAGGGTGAAGCGGCCGCCGGGTTCTCCGCCTGTCTTCAAGGCGCGTTACGTGGCTCGTGGCTTCAGTCAGCGGCAGGGGGTTGACTACTTTCAGACCTTCTCCCCCACCCCGAAGATGACCACTCTTCGGGTTCTGCTGCACGTTGCTGCTCACCGTGACTACGAGCTGCACTCTCTCGACTTCAGCACAGCTTTCTTGCAGGGCAGCCTGCACGAGGAGATCTGGCTGCGTCGCCCACCTGGCTTCACTGGGTCTTTCCCTCCTGGTACCCAGTGGAGTCTCCGGCGTCCAGTCTACGGTCTCCGCCAGGCGCCACGTGAGTGGCACGACACACTGAGGACTACGCTCGCGGCACTTGGGTTTGCTCCTTCCACTGCCGACCCGTCGCTGTTTCTGCGCACCGACACCTCGCTGCCGCCGTTCTACATCCTCGTGTACGTCGACGACTTGGTCTTTGCCACAGCTGACACTGCTGGACTCGCCTACGTGAAGTCCGAGCTGCAGAAGAGACACACGTGCACTGACCTGGGTGAACTGCGCAGCTACCTTGGCTTGCAGATCACCCGGGACAGAGCACGCCGCACCATTACCCTGACTCAGTCACACATGGTGCAGCAGGTCCTTCAGCGCTTCGGCTTCACGTACTCCTCGCCTCAGGCCACTCCTCTGCCTACTCGCCACTCGCTCTCAGCTCTGCCTTCGGATGAGTCCGTAGAGTCGAGTGGCCCGTACCCAGAGCTTGTTGGCTGCCTCATGTACCTGATGACCTGCACACGACCTGACCTCGCATACCCTCTTAGCATTCTCGCACGCTTTGTTGCTCCTGGGAGACACCGACCAGAGCACATGGCTGCAGCGAAGAGGGTGTTGCGCTACTTGTGCAGTACGTCGAGCATGGGGCTAGTGCTTGGAGGGCGCAGTCCAGTGGTCCTCACTGGGCACGCAGACGCTTCTTGGGCTGACGACCAGGCTACGCAGCGGTCGTCACAGGGTTACACCTTCAGCCTTGGTTCCGGCTCTGTCTCGTGGCGGGCTACCCGCTCGTCTTCTGTTCTCGGCTCCAGTTGTGAGGCTGAGATCTACGCTGGGGCTATGGCTGCACAGGAGTTACGCTGGCTCACCTACCTGCTGACCGACCTTGGAGAGCAGCCTCGTTCTCCTCCAGTCCTGTACGTAGACAACAAGGCCATGCTGGCCTTGTGTCGAGAGCAGCGACTGGAGCACAGAACGAAGCACATTGCTCTTCGCTATTTTCTTGCTCGTGAGCTACAGCAGCGTGGACAGCTGCGACTTGCGTACGTGGCCTCTGAGGCCAACACTGCTGATGTCTTCACCAAGGCACTTGCGCCTTGTGATCATCAGCGTTGCTGCACGCAGTTGGGTCTTGTGCCTGTCTTGCCTCACTTGCTCTCCTCTTGACCTTGCTTGTACCTTCGCATATATATACTCTTGCTCTTGCTTGCTTGACTCTTGTATACCTCTATATATGATCTTGCATGTGAACTGGCCTTGTGGCCTTTGAACTTGTGCTCGGAATGCGTGGTGACTTTGTGATCCACCCTGAGCTTTGCTTTGCTTTGCTTGACTGGTCTTGTGACCCCTTGTTCTCCCCCACTTTGCCTATGGGGGTGTGTCAGAACACATAGCTTACTTGTTTGTGTAGGCTATAGTGGGGTATCCCATAGGGGGTACAACACAATTAGGGTTTCCTATTTGTACTCACTTCGTTCATACTCATTCCATTCTCGTTCAATTCTTCTCAGTAACTGTCTAGAATGGCAATAGTCGTGGGTTAATGTAGCAATGCAATTCAGTTAATAAGGGAATGTACCCCTCAGAGTACATGGCTAGCTAAGAATGCTATTTATATCCTTGTACTTCTACCCTATAATCATCTTGTTCTCTTTCAATTAATCAACAAGGTCATTACTGAGACTTCACAGTTCTCTCTTACACTTGGCAACCTTATCCTATCCACTACGATCCTTCAATTATATCAGCAAACTCTAGCTAGGGAGGGTCCTCAGGTTGAGTGCTGCTTTGGGGTTGTCGGAGCCAGGTCTTCCGAAGTTGGGGCTGTATGTGTACCAAGTGACTTAGTAAGGGATTAGAAACATTCCTTACACTACTCCCCCTCCCCTCCCTCCCCCCCACCCATCCCACCCTCTCCCTCATTTAAGAAAGGTAGTTGATATCCAAAACACGCCGGTGGGAAAGGCAATCTCAGAGTACTGGCTGTTCATGAAGCGCACCTGAGGCAACCCGCGTACCGTCCTCATTGGTTTGTTTCGCTTATCGGAGGAGGAATTTGACATGGCGTCCAGTCATCAAACGTCACACTCGATGATTCATGGTTTTCCATTGTTTGAGTGTCGGGTCTGCCACGGCCAGACACTTGGCGCGATTTGTCAGAACATTATAGCTCATGCATATTGTGTAGGCTATAGTGGGGTAGCCCATAAGTGGTACAACCCAATAAGGGTTAGTACTTGTACCCAATTCATTCATAGTTCATTCATTCCTTGTTTCTTCTCATGGTATCGAGCAGGTTCCCTAACGGGAACGATTCCTAGGGCCCACCACTATGAATTTTTTTTTTCCTACCCGGAGCACGCTCCACTCAGCCCGAGTTGCGCTCCGTGTGCTCTCCCTACCGGCGCGCCCTCGCTAGGCCCCTCACGGCCCCGTTGCGTCGCCCCTAGCGGCCCTCTCATGGCCTGTCGCGCCGCCCTTACGGCCCGTCGCGCCGCCCTTAGTGGCCCGTCGCGCCGCCCCTTTCTGCGGCCCAGTCGCGCCGCCTCCTTCGCGGCCCCGTCGTACCGCCCTTAGCGGCTCGTCGCCGCCTCCTTCAGCGGTGTCGCCGCCTCCCCCTTGCGGCCCGTCGCCGCCTCCCCCTTGCGGCCCGTCGCCGCCTCCCCCCTTGCGGCCCGTCACCGCCTCGTACAGCGGCCCCACCGACCCCGCGGGCCGCCCTAGCGGCCTCTTGCGCCGCCTGTCGGCCCCGCTTGCCGCCCTTGCGGCCCTACGAGCCGCCCGTCGGCCCACCGTGAGCCGCCCTAGCGGCATCGACGCCGCCATTCCCGGCCCCGACGCCACCTTGGCTGGCCCCTGCGTCTGCTCCTACGGCCCCGGCGCCTGCTCCTACGACCCCGGCGCCTGCTCCTACGGCCCCGGCGCCTGCTCCTACGGCCCCGGCCTCTGCTCCTACGGCCCCGGCGCCTTCTCCTACGGCCCCGGCGCCTGCTCCTACGGCCCCGGTGCCGCCCTTCCCGGCTCCGACGCCGCCTCCTACCGGCCCCACCGCCGTCCCTGATCAGGAGCCGCAGCCGCCAAGCCGCCCAGCGACCGAGCCGCCGGGCCGCCGAGCCGCCCAGCAACCGAGCAGCCGAGCCGCCCAGCCGCCGAGCCGCCCAGCAGCAGAGCCGCCGAACCGCCCAGCAGCCGAGCCGCCGAGCCGCCCTGCCGCCGAGCCACCCAAGCCGCCGAGCCGCCCTGCAGCCGAGCCGCCGAGCCGCCCTGTCCGGTAAGAGCAGCGCTTCTACCCATGCACTGCCCTTACCCTACTGTTCGTACTGCTGGTCTACTGCTGTCATGGCTACCCCTAGTGTCCTAGCTTTTGACGCTGAGGGTAGGGCCATTGACTTTGACGTCTGGGTCGACGACCTGCAGCTTTTCTTACAGTGCGATAGGGCAAACGGCCTCTCCCTCTTTGACCTCACTTCTGGTGCCTCTCCTGCCCCTGCTGCTGATGCTGACGCCACTGTTTGCTCACAGTGGGCCACGCGCGATGCTGCTGCACGTCTTGCTGTGCGTCGCCACCTGCCTACCTCTGAGCGTGCGCACTTTAGCCAGTACAAGAGTGCTCAGACCTTGTACGACGCTGTAGTTGCACGCTACTCCTCCCCTGCCACTGCTGCACTGAGCCGCCTCATGCTACCGTACCTCTTCCCTGACCTTGCTGCCTTTCCCACAGTCGCTGACCTCATTACGCACCTCCGCACTAGTGACACTCGCTACCGCGCTGCGCTTCCTGCTGAGTTCTGCGCCAAGAACCCCCCCCCCCATGTACATCACCCTCTACTACATAGTCACCCGTCTCCCTGACTCCCTTCGCGTAGTCAGGGACCACTTCCTCTCAGTTTGCCCCACCACTCTCACCGTTGACCTCCTCAAGAAGGCCCTCCTAGCAGCAGAAAAGAGCATAGTAGCTGTAGGAGCCTCTCGTGGTGACCCTCGCACCCCCATCTTTGAGGGGTGTTCCCCCTCCCCTCTTTTGCCCTCTGTTGCCTCTGCTGCTGCGGCCGACCTCGTTGGTCTGGAGTCGGTCGGTGCGGCGTCTACCCCTAGTGGGAAGCGTCGCTCTGGCAAGGGCAAGGGGGGCAGGGGCGCTGGAGGAGCTAGCGGGGGCAGTGGAGGCGCCGGTGGAGGCAGTGGAGGGGGTGGGGGTGGTGGTGGGAGTGGCGGCGGGGGTGGAGGTGTCGGCGGCGGCAGTGGAGGCGGAGGCGGCGGTGGCGGTGGCGGTGGGAGCGGAGGTGGTGGAGGTGGCGGAGGTGGAGGAGGCGGTGGCGGAGGAGGAGGAGGAGGAGGTCGTGGCTCTTCGTAGAGGAGTGGCTCCGGTGGTGGTCAGCGCCAGCAGCAGCAGCGCAGTCGGGAGACCCTGTCCCCTCAGCAGCTGCGTGAATGGTACGCTGCGCGCCTGCGGGGTGGGGGTACTGGTCCGTGCACCTACGTCCTGCGCACCGGCGACCGTGCGGGTGAGCAGTATGGGGGTGCGCACCCCACCCAGCGCTGCTTTGGACGCCTGACGGACGCTTGGCGTCACCAGTTCCCTGAGGCCACTGAGATTCCTCGCTGGGGCGAGCTGTCTAGGGCAAGGGTAGCTATCTTTGACCTTGACTTTGATGCTATTCTTGCTGCTATGTATATTGTATCTATTAGTGAGGAGGGTGACTCTTAACGGTGTTTCCCGCCCGACCCGGGCATTGAGACTGCTGCTCTAGGTGCTGGTGAGGCTGCTGCTCTTGGTGCTAGCGAGGCTGCTGCTCTAGGTGCTAGTGCGTCTGCTTCCTCCGGTACTGGTGAGTCTGCGCTCTTAGGTACTACGTCGGCTTCGGCCTCCCACACCTTCACTGTGAGAGTACGACGGCTTATGCCAGCTATGCTTGCTTGCCTCTACTTTATCATGCTATTTCTAGCATAGGATAATCATATGCATGCATGAATTGCTTGATTTCCTAGGCTAGGTGCTTTCCTATATTTTATTATAGTTATAGCACCGAGCTAGGTTGCGTGCACCGAATTCTGGCTTTTCGGTTGCCACCGAATTGCCTTCTACCGAATTCGGTAAGGAGGATCTGTTCGGGACGCTTCGCGACCCGCGGAACCTTCGCATAACACCTGGTTACGGGGCCTTGTGTCGAGCCTATATATAGCCTCGTGTTGTACCAAGGTGATCATTCAATTCAATTTGAATCATCTTTTCTGAGCTCGATCCCAGATCCTCACACTTGGTAATCAGAACGGGTTTACACGCGAGGTCTTCAACCGCTTAGTTCCGGCCTTTAAAAACCGCGGGGGCGACGACGAAAGCACCGATACGGGTATGTAAAACCAGTTCCGCGCAATTTTTCTAAGTCCCCCTCGATTCGGTTTTCGAACACCCCTCAGATTTACTGGTGGAAAGGTTGGAGTTTCGACCGTTCGATCGAGTTTCATCTCAACGGCCCAGAGAATTTCGCCCAAAAAAGTTGGAATTTGGAGCGTCAGATTGATTTTCTCCTCAACGGCCAAGATCGGACGCGAATTTCGCCTAAGGGAGATTTACGCAACCTACAGAATTCGCGCTCGTCGATTCTACAGTCAATTTGACTCGCAGTAAGTCGACCAGCCCCTAGAATTCGATTATTTTCGTCGCGCATCTTCCTGTAAATCGCCAAATGGAGGGAAAAGGAGATATTTCAGTACAGAAAATCGCGGAGTTACGTGCTGAGCATAAGCAAATACGTGCAGCGCTCCCACGACTCGAAAAACTCCTTGCGAACTAGTCGGCAACCGCCACAGCAGCAGCGACAACAGTAGCAGCAGCAGCAGCGGCTACACCGACAATTCTACATGCGACAACGGCGGCAGCTACAGTTAACCTCGAAGCAGTGAAGCTGAGGCTACCGGAGGCGTTCGATCTTGCAGTAAAAAGGAACGACGTTCGTCGATTTGTAGCTGAACTCGAAATTTACTTCGAAGCCGTTGGATGCACGACCCCGACAAAAGACGCAATGCGCATACGGCTCGCAGCAACACTGTTACGAGGCCCAGCTCTAGAGTGGATCAACAACAGAATAGTCCAAGGCGAGGGGACGTGGGCGCAGGTTCCGGCAGCACTGATCGAACAGTTCGACACGTTGAACAGTAGCTACTACGGAACACGACGCAACAAGCCAACTAGTGGCATGGGGCGATTGGCACCACCCACGACTGCCGACCCGATGGAGAACGACGAGGGCGATGTGGAGCAGCGGCTAGCAAATAATGAGACGTGCAAATTTTGCGGCGCTATAGGACATCGTATCTTGGCGTGTTGGAAAATGAAGAGAAGGTGTGCGGAGCTGAAGGACAAGAACAGTGCGGCACCCCCGAAGCAGAAAATGGACAACGTGGCAACTTCGGAGAGGGTGAAAAAAGGAGAATATGGTGGCGCAAATTTAAAACGTCACGACCAGCCGGCACCAGGGGAAATCGCCGAGACTAATGGAGGATCCGCGAAACAAGAACCTGCACTGACCGGGAAACTCCAGCCGTATACCCCGACAAGTAAGAATATTACTTCTCGTGGGTTTCAAGCCTTTATTAAGGGAGAGTCAGAAATTAAACCGGTACCGGGTATTATGGGGACCCTACTCCAGAGCGCTAATACGGGTCGAGCGTTCCGAGGAGTTAATATTCTCTCCCAGCAGCACTGTTTAAAGGCTCCCTGTTCCCCACAGATGAAGCCTACACAGCTGCAAAGGCTTAGTGGAAGGTTCCAGGCCCAAGAGAAGCCGAATCGGCCTCGCATGAATCCTTCTAACCTTTCTCAGTTGAAAACTGATACTGAAGCTGCATCTTTGAGCGCAGGACCTAGGGATAACATATTCGACGTACCCTACGATCCTATAAGCGATACCATCTACGGATACTCGGAGCAGCAGCAACCACTAGTACTCGAGGTGATCTGCAACGGGCGTCGCCTCCAGACCCTGGTGGACAGTGGTGCGTCCCACTCGGTGTGCGACCGCGGGACATTGGAGAAAATTGGAGAATCCTAAGAAGAAACACAGTTTACAGCAACGATGGTGGACGGTACGAAGCTTCCCATCCACGGAAAGTCAACACTGCAGCTGCAGATAGGGGCATTGAGGTGGAAGCCGACGTTGCCGATCACGAACATCAAGGGATTAGATTTTATCTTGGGGCGAGATTTCCTGAAGCAGTTCAACCCCGAGATCGATTGGGTCAACAGCAAGGTGTGCATCTACAACAACGGGAAACGAGTGGAGCTGCGAAGCTTGACGGATACAGAGAGCGTTCCTGAAACGACACTGGCACAGTTCGAACGGACAGTGAACGAGAGTAACACGGGTTACTTAGCACTGGTTATAGCAGCAGCAGAGGAGGAGGTCTTGGAGCAGTACAAGGATATAATGCCCGACGACCTACCCACAGGCGTATCTCCAGCACGCACCCACGAGCACGAGATCGTGGAGGAACCAGGTGCGAAACCCGTCTCACGTGCACCATACCGACTGAGTCCGACTGAACTGACAGACATGAAAATACAGATAGAGTATCTACTGGACAGACAACTGATCCGCCCATCCACCTCTCCCTACGGCGCACCAGTTCTCTTCACTCCAAAACCAGACGGCAGTCTACTGATGTGCATTGACTACCGCGCACTGAACAAACAGACAGTCAAAAACAAATATCCCATAGTCGTTAGCCTCGACTTCATCACAGGACTTCCTTCGACCTCACGGGGACATGATTCCATCCTCGTGGTGATCGTTAGTTCTCCAAAATGGGTCACTTCATACCGACCAACGCCACAGCTACAGCTGAAGCAACTGCTCGACTCTTCTTCGACCGCATCATCACCATCCACGGCATCCCCGCTACACTCATCTCAGACAGAGACCCCAAATTCACGAGTAAGTTCTGGAAGGAGCTCATGGGACTGTTGGGGACAAAGCTTACAATGTCTTCAGCATACCACCCCCAGACTGACGGACAGACAGAGCGACTCAATCAAGTGGTTGAACAGTTACTGCGCACAGCTTGCAAAGACGACGTCAGCCATTGGGACACACAGTTACCAACCCTAGAGTTCGCTTACAACAACGCATCACATGCGGCCACAGGGAAAACTCCTTTCTTCCAGTGTAACGGACGGGAACCACTCACACCACAGCAGCCAACCACACCGGCATACGTCCAAGCCGCACATGACTTCGTCACCACCATGGAGCAGCTATGGGAGAAGACTCAGCGACGTCTCATAACGATGCAAAACTCCCAGAAGCAGTATGCCGATCGTCAGCGACGTGATCACTCAGTAGCAGTCGGAGATCAGGTGCTTCTTGACATGCACAACTTGAACCTGTCTCACCTCCCATCCAAACTCTGGCCTCGCTTCTGTGGTCCTTTTCTCGTTGAGGCACAGGTGACACCAGTTACATTCCGCTTGCGCTTACCAGATACATGGAAGCTTCACAACGCTTTCCATGTCCAGCTACTGAAGCCCTACAAGGACCCCAACCAACAGTTCCAGGGACGGCAACTACCTCCACCACCACCTGTTCTCATACAGGATGAACCCGAGTACGAGATCGAGCGCGTTCTCACCCATCGGCGCCGCGGTGGCAAGACCCTCGAGTTCCTAATACGCTGGAAGGGATACGACCCCACTGAGGACAGTTGGGTTGCAGAAGCTGATATGGGCAACGCACGCCGTGCTCTCAAGGACTATCTTGTCAAGCAGGGTGTATCTCACGCCACCCAGCTTTGAGGGGGGGACGTGTGAGAGTACGACGGCTTATGCCAGCTATGCTTGCTTGCCTCTACTTTATCATGCTATTTCTAGCATAGGATAATCATATGCATGCATGAATTGCTTGATTTCCTAGGCTAGGTGCTTTCCTATATTTTATTATAGTTATAGCACCGAGCTAGGTTGCGTGCACCGAATTCTGGATTTTCGGTTGCCACCGAATTGCCTTCTACCGAATTCGGTAAGGATCTGTTCGGGACGCTTCGCGACCCGCGGAACCTTCGCGTAACACCTGGTTACGGGGCCTTGTGTCGAGCCTATATATAGCCTCGTGTTGTACCAAGGTGATCATTCAATTCAATTTGAATCATATTTTCTGAGCTCGATCCCAGATCCTCACATTCACACTTGACTCGGGGGCTTCTCGCTCTTTCTTTCGAGACCGCACCTCACTCACGCCGCTTGGTCGGCCAGTTGCAGTCTCCCTGGCAGACCCCTCTGGGGGTCCTGTCCTTGCTCACTTCTCCACTGTCCTCCTGTGTCCGGCGCCCCCCTCTGGCACCCTGTCTGGTCTTTACCTCCCCTCGTTCTCTACGAACTTGGTGAGTGGTGCTGACCTACAGGATGCGGGGGTTCACCAGTTCACTCCTGCGAGTCAGCGGGTGATCCACCGCACGGACGCTCGGACAGGCCGACACCTGGCCACGTTTACACGTCGGCCAGGGTCGAGCCTGTACACACTGACCACTGCGTCTCCTCCAGTCACTGCGTCTGGTCAGGTAG